GAAGTTGAAATTGGCTCTGAAATTGAGAAATGTTTGTTGACAACCAGCGGTCCCTTCGTCGTGAAGTTGAACTTGCGTTGTCTGGAGTCCAATATCCTCCGTTGTGAAGTTGAAATTGGCTCTGAAATTATCGGTTGACAACCAGCGGTCCCTTCGTCGTGAAGTTGAACTTGCGTTGTCCGGGGTCCAATATCCTTCGTTGTGAAGTTGAAATTGGCTCTGGGTAAGACCTGCAAAGATATGCATCTATGCGATGTTATGGATTTCATGCTCTTAGGTATGCCTAAAATGTATAGGCAACATATGTTATTCTGGGCTCTGGAGAGAAATCTTGATCTCCGGTGGCCTGTCGTTGTTGACTCTTGATTTTGAAAGCTTGAAGTTCCGATCTCTGATCTTGAATTCTTCAAATATTTAAATCTGATGTGCACATTCTTTTTTCTTGATTTGGGAGATACTCCTCAACTATCTCAAGTGTGTATGAGCCTTGATCTTTGGGGTACCTGTACTTTTCAATGAATCTTTGTACAGTAATATGCGATTATCTTTCATAAAAATAAATAAATCATTAGGTTAAATCTAATTCAATATGCTCAAAAGGAATTAGAGGAAATATGGTATTATTCATAAGGGGGAGGAGAAACAAAACAATACATGGCAAACATTCTAGAAAACGAATACACGGTGGTGTGTAAATGAATGTCTTAGATCTCGATAATGTGGGCACTTCTGAGTTGAAAAGCCGTTTGATGACTTTGAATGCAGCCTTTGCCAAAAGATCCTTGAAAATGCGATAACGTTTGGGAGAGTGCAACATTTCTCTGATTTGTTGAGTTCGTAGAAGATTCATGTGCCGAGATGTTTCCACTGTTAATATCCAAATCGCCCTTTCCGGGTTTTCAACTTGGATCCATCCTTGGTTGTAAGACGCCCTTTGCGGGTTTTCATCTTGAACCCCCTTTATTTTCCGAGAGGTCTTTGTACCCTCGTTTTAAAAAACATACTGATTTTATGAAAAGGAGGCCTCGGGAGGGTAGATCTAGAATAGATCCACTCGAAATACCCCTCCCCGGGTCATTGGCCGTCTGAATGAGGAGACGAAAATAAAGGGAAGGATCTACACTCGCATGCAAAGAAGAACCAAACGAGGTAAAAAAAGTTACCTTTATTTCTTTTCTGCTTTCGGATATTACAAGTGCTTTGAGTATTTGCGGTTTGCTGCTGATTTCCCTCGTAATCGTGTACAAAACTTGTGTGTTTGTGTGTCAAAAATCCCCCCCAAATGGCTGATTATGTGTTATTATAATGAAAAAACCTTTTTTAGTATCTTATTAGAACTAGGATTCTAATGCTAGTTGGTTTGTTGATATGTTGGTGATGGTCGAGATCTCTGCGCCGAATGATACGGGTTGTTGGGCGAGACGTACGGCTGTGGGAACTTCAAATGGGGGGAAACGGCGCTGGAACGAGACGTGGAGCTAGGGTTCTGGAAACTTGCTGCTCACGTGGGATTTGCATGCGGCACTAGGGTTCCTCGAAACCCTAAGGAGCTGATCTGCACATGGGTCTGGGCCTGGGGCTGACTTGGGCTATTGTTGGACTTGTAATATCGGGCTTGTGTTATAAATAAATAAATAAATAAATATGTACATTATGTAATATAATATAATATACATTACATGAATAATATCCATGATCAAAATTTAATGTCTTCACATATACTTTAGCTTCAATAATATACAAGACGATTGTAGTATGCAAAATAACTTTCCAATTATTTGTACAATGATTAAGAGTAAGAAATATATTGTGTGAGGCCATATTTTATTCCTAAACTTAGAAGATTTCAATCAATAATATTACCACTTTAGTTCTCCAATAACACATTCATTGTAAAGTTGGCTCTTTTAATTTTTATAATCCGAAGGTTTTAAGGAGAAAAGATGAAAATGTAAGATAAATAAGAGAGGGTTGGGGTAAAATTTAATTCCCCCCCTCAATTTTCATGTATGCCATGAGCAAATCAACCATGATTGCCTTAATGGTATATATACCATCTTGGTCCCTCTTTATTTGACATCAATTCAAATGTAGTCCTTTTTATGATTAATTAAGTCAAATTCTCTTTCGATTAGGCCTAAATTTTTCTTAAGGGGTCTAACAATACTCTCATATCAATCTATATGTCTCTTGGGTTAACCCTTACATTGAACAATTAAAGCACTCAACTCATAATTGGTGAATTCGTAGGTTCAATTCCTATTGAATGTACACTATTAATACTTTGTAATAGGTCTATTAGAAATGATTATATATCAATAAATCTAATCTTCTATACATAAGGAATTGGTGTTGTCTATGCATATCATAACATAAGGGATAAGAGAACAAGAGTGGTAAAAAATTATGGGTAAACTAACATATTTGGTCACTCACATTATTCCCACGTGTTTGTTTTTGTAACATAATTTTTTTTTTCAAAATCATTATTAATATCACGTTTTATTTGTTTTGATCACCTAATGTTAAGTTTGACCATTAACTTAACGAAATGGTGATGTGACATAGTATAATAACAGTTTTAGTCCCAAAAAATTACATATTCTATAAATTGATCCTCATTTGAAATAATTCAATAAATTTTCATTATTTGAAAATTTTATCAATTTGATCCAACATAAAATCTTAAAGTCTCCCAAATCCCGATCTTCCCTAACACCCATCCCCTAACGTTGTCCTCCTTCATTTGCTTAGTCTTCACTGTCTCTTCTCCAAGTCGACCGCCCATACGGTGAAATCTTCAATCATTTTTAAGAAATATTACACTATGACCATTATAAAATATATTATTTATTTGAAAATCTTCATTGAGTTTATCAATGAGTCTCTTTAACCAAATAACTTCTTTATAAGCCTCGATAATATTCATATACTTAGCTTCAATAGTATACAAGATGATTGTAGTATGCAATTAACTTTCCAGTTATTTGTACAACGCTTAAGAGTAAGAAATATATTGTGTGCGGCCATATTTTATTCCTAAACTTAGAAGATTTAAATCAATAATATTACCACTTTAGCTCTCCAATAACACATTCATTATAAAGTTGGCTCTTTTAATTTTTATAATCCGAAGGTTTTAAGGAGAAAAGATGAAAATGTAAGAAAAATAAGAGAGGATTGGGGTAAAATTTAATTCCCCCCTCAATTTTCATGTATGCCATGAGCAAATCAACCATGATTGCCTTAATGGTATATATACCATCTTGGTCCCTCTTTATTTGACATCAATTCAAATGTAGTCCTTTTTATGATTAATTAAGTCAAATTCTCTTTCGATTAGGCCTAAATTTTTCTTAAGGGGTCTAACAATACTCTCATATCAATCTACATGTCTATTGGGTTAACCCTTACATGTTGACTTGGAAATGTGGCTCATTACATTAGTTGTTTATAGCTAATATTTAAATTTACAAGATCATTATCTTTAAATCTTTAAACATTATTCGATGTCTATTCAAATCATGTAGAAATTATTGTTGTGTATGAGATAAGCTGAGAATGTGTTTGGCTAAAACTATTGACCCAACATATCTAGAATATATGTGATTTACTTCCATATGATTTGATATCACTTGTCTTGTACGTATATAATATAGAATGTATAGCTCAACTGAGAAAAGAATACATCAATGAAACATAACGAAACAAATTTTCTCAAATTTTCTTCTATCATGGTCTTCGGAAGAATAAGAATATAAATATTCAACAAAATTGTTGAAGTGATAATTTGGAAGATCTATTCATCATTACATTATCTACCTTAATATTTTAAGATTGTATTTAATATTGAATTATGAAGACTCAAAGATCTTATGTTATATTGTCACAGAGAGAGTAAATACACGTTGTATTATTGTTTTCTTTATGTTTTGTCTCACTGAATTTTCTTGATATGAATTTTATTGAGGCAACATATTGTGCGTATTAAAGATATGCGTACTATTTTTCCTCTTTAAAGAAATTTTTCACACAATTTTTAACAAGGTATATTATCATTAATGGACAATCAAGAGATAATGTTATGAATATTTGTTATTTGTGAATGTCTATTATGATTAAAATTTTATATATTAAATAAGAATTTAATGTATTTTATTATAATAAGATTTATATATATATCAAATTATAGTTCTATATGATATCCTTCATGACTATATATATAAAGTCCAGAGAAAACATTAGTTATATTTCATATTAAAAAAACAATACATATTTTTTTTCTTATTTCTCACGCCTCTTGTTCTTTATTTTTATTTCATAACCATTTTGAAAATTTAAAATTATATTTAATAATAAGACCAAATGTATTAGATGAAATAAGATTAACAATAATTATGAAAAAATATTTATTTAAATAAGATTTGATAGAAGGTTTAGGTTATTAACATTCCCTTCTAAAATCCTAATAAATAAATAATTTATATTGTTGCATTCTCTTTTTATAAAATTATCGTGAATATTTTTAAAATTATCTTCTCATTATTCAAATGATCAAGTGACCTCAATGATTAGTATTTTAAAAGATATTATTTTTTTAGAGGTTATAAGTTTAAACAATTGTCTTTGTATTATGTATACGTTTTCAATAATTAAAAAATATTTTAAACAAATATTATCATATAATTACTTAAAACTATTAATTATTTTAATAAAAAATGAAATTACTTTTTCATTTAATAAGAAAAATGAAATTACTTCTAAATATCCTACTCCAAACCCATTGTAAATGTCCAAGCCATTAGCAATATTATACTTAATTTTGATTTAATTGTGAAAAAACAAGAAGCGGCAAAAAATTGCAAAAATCCAGCCGAGTCGACTGAAGAAGCCGCCAAAGTTGTTAATATCCAGTGCAGGTCAACGTGGCAGTATTTTATTAAAGGACGGAATGTCACGCACGATAACTTAACGTACAATAAAAGCAGGATATTGATTCTCAGCTGGGGCAAGGTCACCGAAATAAATTGACCTTTAACATCACATCTCGTCATTGGAGGGATTTTCTTTCTCTATATTTTCTCATCCATTTCCTACTCCGTCGATCTCGATCCTAATACTCGTAAGATGGTAATGTTTCAGCTGCCTATTTTATTTTTTTCATTTTTTAAATTCTTCATCCTTTAGTTTAATTTGAATCCTTGATTTCGTAGTTTATTAGTAATCCTTTCGGATCGTTACTTGTTGCTGATTTTTCTTTACTAAATCTGGTGTTTTTGTCGGTTGATTGATTATCTCTTTCTCAAGCTTTCGATGTTTGGAGGAAATCTCTCATACATCGATTTATTTTATCTGTTTTTTGGGGTTTCTGAATCCTAGGGTTTCAAATCTGTAGTTTGTGCTTTGATGATGTGGATTTTTATGGCCTGGTTTTTTTTTATTTATGGGATTAGATGAACTGTGTCCGATCTTGATTCTAGTGGCCTTTTCCGCTTGATTCTGCTGGATTTGATTTCAATCTAATACGTTTAGATGATTTTCATCTGTTCCTTCTTGTTTGGTGTATTGATATGTTGATACAATCTGTTTTAACTTTTAATTTGGATTTTTCAACCGTTTTTTCTTGGCCATTGGCTTTTAACATTGACGCTTCATTGCCAAGCCCCACATGTTTCTGTTTATTTTGTTTTTGAGTATTCTCTAGGTAGTGTACGAAATAGTGCCTGCTAATCCAGGGGAGAAGCCAGCAAACTATTTTAGGGGCCTAAATTGGATTTTGAATTTTTGGGGCCAAAATATAGTTTTACAATTTAACTTATAATTTAATGATTTTCCCTAGCATATCCGAAGGTTATGTTCTCGACACAATCTTTTTTTCAACATAGGTGGTTGCTGAAATAGATCACGTTAGAACATACAGTAAAGGGTTTCTGAGTATGGGGTTTTGTTATTTTTTGTCATCCTTGGCTTTGCTAGGGCCAACTGTTAATGGTAGAGGGTAGGGGATTAGTTGAGTAGCACCTTTTGGGGTTTCCCCTTCATATCAGGTTAAAAGCAGACGCTGCTGATTCATCCTATTTATATAATGAAACATTGGGCTTTCCTCAGATATTTGATGTTTTGTCATTTGATATTGCGAATGTTTAGGCCAACGCCGCATCAGGAATGGCTGTGCACGATGATTGCAAGTTGAAGTTTCTGGAGCTCAAGGCAAAAAGAACCTACCGCTTCATTGTTTACAAAATTGAGGAGAAGCAGAAGGAAGTTATTGTGGAGAAGCTTGGTGACCCGTCTAAGAACTATGATGATTTCACTGGAAGTCTTCCTGCTAACGAATGTCGATACGCCGTGTATGATTTTGAATTTCTAACACCAGAGGGTGTACCAAAGAGCAGAATATTTTTCATTGCATGGTAATGCAAGTTTCTTGATCTCCTGAATTATCTCAACTGCCCGGTATATTTTATTGTTGCCTTTCGTACTAATGTTTTTGTCTCGTGAAGGTCTCCTGATTCATCAAGGGTGAGGAACAAGATGATATATGCTAGCTCCAAAGACAGATTCAAGAGGGAACTTGATGGAATTCAGGTGGAATTGCAAGCAACAGATCCAAGTGAGATGGATATTGATGTCATCAAAAGCCGTGCTAACTGAAAATCAACCTTTCAGGCCATGCAATGGGGGCATCCTCATGCTATCTTTACTTGATTGAAATGTTTGTAAGTTGTGGACTGGTGAAAACTTGGATAATTGGTGTTGCCGATTTCCGAGTTTTGCCAATGGGTTTTTATTTTTCTCCAAGAAAAAGACCTGTGCTGCTTCTGGGTATGTGTCTTGTTTTCTATAGAACCTCAAATTTGGGTGCCTTTATGTAATCTATTCTCGTCAAAGCTAATATGCAACTGTTTGGTAGGGGATCTGCTACACCTTTATTTCATTTACAAGTATTTTTAAGTATTGGCCTTTGCTTGTTTGTTTTGGAGTCTTCCAGGTATGCAACCGATTATGGCTCTTGCGTACAAGTTTTGCATTTTGCATGATCAAACGGTTTTATTCGATCAACGTGAAGCTATGTCCATCGTTTGTTTGTTGATGTGCTTTCGGTAGACGGAATTCGTTAATTTTACATTGATTTTGTTGTATTTTTGGTATTAATTAATAGTGTTCACATCAGTAATTCTACTTTTTCGGTAGCGCCCGCATGAGACAACGGGAGGCGCGCCTACGGGTGCAGCGCCTTCACTATAATATTTTTTTTTAAATATTAATATTTCAAATAAATAATTATATTTTAATATTAAAAAAAGCGCATCTAATTTTACTAAATTTTAGTCTCTCGCGATACAATTGGAAAATAAAGAAAAGAAAAACACACCATACAAAATCCCTAACATTCTTTCTCTCCGCTGCACACCTTTTTTATTATAATATCATTTATCATGTTAGTTTGAGTACAAAATAGAATTTACACTTGATCTATATTATATATTACAAACTGTCACACCCTAATTTTTAGGGGCTAAATTGATTTTTTTTAAAGTATTGGGGGTTAATTTGAAAACTATCAATGCTTTAGGGCCTTAAGCCCAAAATTTTCCCTTGGTGGCCACAAATGTTAAAATCAAGGAATAAAAAAATAAGGGTGGCTAGGAGAATTGAACAACTCATGCCTTAGTCATTTAGATTAGGTCACTATTAATGATTAAAATAAGAAAAATATCTTATGTGTTTATCTGGATCAATTTATAATACAAAAAGCCATCCCCATTAAGAATCAAAAGCCAAACTTAATCCTCAAATTAAACCCCTTAAATCCCTAAGTTTATCATCGAATTCATCGTCATCCGACCTCTATAACCACTGCTACCACCACCTTTTGGAGTGTTATCGACCATCGATCAAAACCCCTCTAATCTCTCATTGTGAAACAGAGCCATTCACCGTAGAATCATTGTGAATCATTCGTCAAAGAACCCTTGCAACAACCACTGTTTTCGTCGATTTCAGCCGATCTAGTCAGCATTGCTGCTCATCGCCCTCACCGTTGCATCACTAGCGCAAATTTGAACAAAACCCGAGAGGGTTCGTTGGCTACCCGTCACCACTTCGTCGACCGTCGTGGATAAGACTTTCGGTCACATTCTCTTTATTTTTCTTCAAAATATTGGTTTGATTTTTAGTTAAATTGGGTTACAAAATGTTAAGTTACAACTTGGGGAGTGATTAGCCGTCCTCAATAGCCTCAGTCGTCGCCGCACGCGCCGTCGGTACACGTGGGGCTTCTTGGCTGATTTATGAGCCTTCTGGAACAGGTTCAGACCGAACTGGTTCAAACTGAGTTAACTCGACAGAGTCAACCTGTTGACTTAAAAGCATCTGAATTGACCGTTAAACCCGAGCATACATATGTATTTAAGTATTTTATTTAAGCGTAATTAAATTGAAGACAATGACTGATTTAAGATATTGTTTATTGAAGGTACATGTGACTTTCCCGACTATTTCAACAGCTAGACCCAACTCCTCTTGATCCGTTCGACCCTGTGGGCCAATGATTACTCGTATGATTCGTGAACCTTATGAATACTTAGATTATTATGATTTAGGTTCGAGCACTGCTGTAGAGTGTGGTGAGACAGGTGCTCAGTAGACTCCTTGATTGATCCCGTTTTACGAGGTGTGTTCCCTATGTGCTATATATATTCTTTACATAATTGCTTTATTGTTTTGAGATATAAATGAATTGTTTGATTTTAAATATTAATTCCCGATTTCTAATTTACTAATCATAAAATATGTTTATATGATACTTGTTCTCTAGTTACTTCTTTTACTAAGAAATGATTATGTTTGATTTATGATTTATTGTATTTATTGATATTTTATGAACTACTTTACTGGGCACTTATGGGATGTTACCTGGAGTCTCTAAGGTGCAACTCTGATCAAGCTGGCAAATCCTTATTGACCTAATGTGACCATTGAGTTGGCTCCTAGGCCCACTAGGCCTAGGGTAAAACCCTACGGACCTTAAGGTACTTCCTTAGGATGGCTCATCTGCTTTGTGCTTTAGGTAAGACCTTATAGCATGGGGGTACCCTCAAGTGAGCTCTTACGCTTCGGCTAGGGTAAGTCCTTATGAACGAAGGTGTTCCCTTAGATGGGCTCCTATACCCAACGAGTATAAGGTAAGTTCTTATGGATGCAGTTCAGGGGGACTGTATTCTGGTGTATGTGAGGAGGGTATATATGAATTTTAAAATATAAACCTCATTGATTACTTTATAATACTTTACTAAATTATTTTTTTGAATACTTTTATAGGACGTTTTATTTGCAGTATTGGGACACATTGAGCTCCCTAACTCACTTCCTAACCTTTTCCCCTTTCAGATACTTTTAGATATGCACTCCTGACTTGACACTTGAAGGATTGACACATCACCTACAATATCTTTTTGTTGTAACGTTTCTATCTTCCGGACTGCCCTTATTTGGTGACATGTGACTGTATTTTGATTTACATGTTTTCTGACATTTATTATCTTTACTGTTGTAGTACGAAATACTTTGATGCTGGTTAATTACGATTTAACATTTATCGTGATATTTTACTTTTATCTTACTAATTGTGTAATACCATGACTTTAAAATATTAAATAATATTTTGGAAATTTCAATATAATATGCTAGATCTAGTCGTAACGTATAGACTAGGTCTAGATGATTACATTTAGTTGGTATCAGAGCTTTCGGTTTTAAACCTCGGACCGTGGAATGAGTCCTAAATTAAAAAAAACTATTTTAAAACGTTTTACAACTTGTTATAAGGCTATGCTACCCATTTTTTTTACAAAGGTTAATTGTGTTTGATACTTTAGTTCCAAATCTGGTCATAATTTTAATTCTTATGTAGTGAGCCTGAGATTCTTCCTATGAGCACCAGACAAAGTCGTCTGCTTGGCCGCATATGAGGTTGAGCTGCTAGGTTTGCTGGCCTTATAGATGATTATATTATATATTCGTCGTCTGCTCCTGGAATTGATATGACGACCCATGTCAGAGAAGCGCCAGTCGTTGGTTTTGAGCTTACGAGTGTGGTGTTAGATGAGACTCTCGGTTGAAAGTTTCTTCAGTTGATTCAAGGTGCTGTCAAAATAGTTGATGTCGCACTTGAAGTCTCGATTACTTAGATCTTGATTGCTAATGAAGTCAGGACATTTGGAGGTTCGACTGGTGGAACTCCTATTGAAGTTGAAGATTGGCTATATGATACAGAGAGATGTATGGATCAACTGGGCTTGGATTAATCAAAGAGGTATTTAGGAGTTGTCTCAATGCTTGACGGGAATGCCTACACTTGATGATAGTCAGTAGTAAGCAGTATCCCCGCTGACCGTATGACATGAGACTTCTTCAAAGAGCACTTCAAGAATTATTTCCTTAGAGAGTACTATTTGGCTGAGAGACAACATCAGTTTCAGGATCTGGTTCGCGGAGATATGACAGTTTTTGAGTATGAGATGAAATTCCTAAAGCTGATGAAATTTAGTTCTAGTTTGGTGCTTACTGAGAGGGATAAGTATCACAAGTTTGCTCGGGGACTTAGGCTGAGCTCCGTAGATATGTGGTGACATATCAGAATGAGGTATTTAATGTTTTGGTGAGGAGAGAGAAAGATGCTAAGGAGGTTGAGGTCGCAGCTCCTGTTGGTGATCGAGTAGATCGAGAGCGATCTAGGAGGTTCTCTGGTCTGACTGAGTCTTCTATACTTCATGGAAAGAGTACTCATACTACTACTCATCAGATGAGTCATACCAATTTTAGGCCTATAGCACCTCCACCCCCAACTATTACTCGAGGTGATTTATCGGGTTATTCTCAAGTGTCTCTTTGTGACTTTTACAGAAACCTTCATGGAAGAGAGTATTAAAAGAATATGGGTGCTTGTTTCCGATGTAGGTCTACTGACCACTTTCTAAATAGTTGCCCACATCCAAAGTCTACAGAACAAACATCTACTCTAGCACCTGTAAGATCTCAGGCTTTTGTTTAGACCCCAACTAGAGGTCGTAGCCAGGGGAAGACTTTGGATTTGTTTCTAGGACTAACAACAGAGCCTGCTCCCAACAGAGTAAAAGGTTAATCGTATCCAAGTCTAGATAACCAGCTCTTGTGTATACCATCAGACGCCGAAAAGATAGAGACGAGCCAAAAGTTATCGCAAGTATTTTTACTATTTACTCTGTTCCATATTGTATTATTAGACAACGACTCCACCCACTCCTATGTTTCGAGTTATGTATCCCAAAACCTTCAGATTCTGATGAAGCACATTAAGAGTGTTTTTACTGTTATGAGTCTAGTAGAATAGTCAATGGTTGTGAATAAGGTATTCAGGAATTTTTATTTAAAGGTTCAGGGTGAAATTTTCCTTATCGACCTTATGGAGATTCTTTTGACCTTATGGAACTTCTTTTGACCTTATAGAGCTTCTTTTAGAGGAGTTCGATCTGATTCTAAGGATGAATTGGTTGAATAAGCACCGAGTCAATTTGGATTGTGAATACAAGAGAGCTACTCTGAAGACTTCTGATGGTCGAACTTAGGTGTTAATTGCTGAAGTCGAGGATATCTTTCTAATATAGTTTTGGCTTTAGCTATTGATCGGATGATCTGAAAGGGATATGAGACTTTCATTACCTGTATCTTGAATACTAAAGGCTCTTTATCCAAGATTGGGGAGATGCATATAGTTAGCGAGTTTCTCGATGTCTTTTCTGAGGAGTTTAAGATTGAGACCTATCTCAGTTCTACTTATGTTTCTATAGAATCACATCGTATGAACCCGAAATAACTCAAAGAGTTGAAGGTCTAATTATAGGAATTACTTGATCAAGGTTTCATCAGACATAGTAACCCCATAGGGGAGCTCTGGTCATATTTATGAAATA